TAACATTGTGATGCAGCTGATGAATTCTTGCTTTGTGGTAGATCTTTATTCTGTATTCATTGGGAGATTTTAATGCTAATCAAACAATTAAATTTAAAAAAAAAATGAATGCAGCATGTTGATTACTTATTAGGGATTTGTGTTTGCAGTCATTGTACTGTTGAGAGCTGCATAGCAACACTTTCTAGGACCTGTAGTGAATAGCAACAATGTTTGATTGTTTTCTGATTTTCAGCGTTCTGGAGGATTCTCATGCAAGGACCTCCTGACACACCATATGAGAAAGGAGTGTTTGAGCTGTACTGCCAGTTTGGTCCTGAATACCCAGTGAAGCCTCCGCTCGTTCGCTTTGTCACACGTGTATCCTGACAAAATACAAACAAAAGCTGTTTAGACATCTACAGTGTTCATGTTAAAATGGTTTCCAGTTATTAGGGTAATATAAAAGTGGTAACTGCATGCATGTTTCTCGTAGCAAGCATTTATCTTAACACAGCGGCAGGTGTACCACTGCAATGTCAACAGTGTTGGCCGCATCTGCCACAACATATTTGATCGCAGCTACAACGCCCACGTCACCATGAGGGACATATTTGATGCTGTGTATGGACTCCTCATCATCCCTGAGCCTGATGACCCACTGGACAGGTGAGACATGCACAACTTTATTACTATAAGCACTCAACAGCCACTTTATTAGTTACACGTTGCTAGGACCAGATTTGACCCCTTTTTGCATTCAGAACTGTTTCAGTATGATCAGCTAGTTATATTTGCACCTACAAGATGTTTGAGTATTTAATACAAGTTAATGATATGGATGATGAGCTGGTGTTCAGACCGAGGTGTGAGTTTTAGATGATCTCTGTGAGGGAAATGTGTCTCTAAACTGATAAACAGTCTGCTGAATTGTTCTGTGATTCTTGTAGAGCTCACTTTTTTCAGATGCTAGTTCAGACCCCAGACATGAATACTTACATTTGCATATTAACCTTTTCCTGGAAGCATTTTAGCCGAGGAATTCCTGACGAGCCGTGAGACGTACGAACGAGAAGCCAGAAAGCACACGGGAGAACATGCTGGAAAGTCAATGGATAGCATGGAGGAGGTGAGTGAGTGAACAAAATATTTATGGGATTTTTCTGTTTTATGTAAAAGATTTTTTTTGTGATCACATTACTTTGACTTATTTTCCTTTCTAAAGAAACTGGTTGATCCTGTGCCAGAGTTTATACCACAACATCTGATTTGTCCTCTAACCAAGAAGATGTTTGTTGATCCTGTGAAAACAGTATATGGCACCGTGTATGAACGGAAAGCCATTGAGGAACA